CGTGTTACTAACCTAACTAGTCTCTAGTAATAAAGGTAAAGTAACGTTAACCTAACCTACTAGTGTCTACGTACTTTAGTACTATATATATATAGTATATATATATATATATATATATATATATATATATATACATACATACTTACATATACAGTATTAGAAATAATTATTGAAACAGTGAAAAAAAGGGTAAATACAAAGTTTGCACTGTAGATGGTTGTCACCAAACCAATCAAAAGTGGTCACACCAGTATAAAGCATATAAATGTATAGGTGGACATATTATGCCCGGTAATATGTTAATTCATCGTGGTTTCCATGGCTAAAGTACCACATGAACAACATGGAGAAATCAAAGTATTGGCTGGTAAAGATTGTGACAAGACTAAAGTGAGTATGTGAAACTGGCACTGTTAATAGCAGAAGTGGTCCAAGTAGTACATCAAAATTCTTCAAAAGTGATATTAACTATTGAAGAGTGTTTTTGCTACGAGATAAACAATGGTTAAGTACAGATCTAACCAGCAGTCGTGTTTGAAATACAGGTGTTAATGTTATTTTGAGAACATGTCGGCACAGTGTTGTCTCAATGGATGTGTGGCTACTTAAGGATCACTGCTGAGAAGTGGTAACTTGAGCAAAAGGAGACTTTTGTTCTCCATATGTCAATCCAAGAGTGAATTTTTGATGGTAATGAGGAGACTGTACAACAACAACAATGTACAACACCTGTAGTGAAGTAGGGTTTGGGCCAGTGGTATTGGTAACCTACACAAAACTGATGGCACCCTGACTGCTGGAAAGTACCTTCTGATAGTGATCCACTATAGTATTCCTTCAGGAGCATGCCAGTAATCCCAATAATATAAATAATGTGGTGGAAGTATATCTTGGAATAGTCACAAACATAGCTTGACTTGCACCAAAGTCCCATTATGAACATTCTTGGGGCTTTATGGGCATATCTGAAACTTGAGAAAGTTAAAAGGCAATAAAAAAATTGACTGAATTAGGGGGATTAATATATGGGAAATTTGGAATAATATTCTGCAGTTGGACATTGATAAATTGTATGGATGCTTGAAAATAAGATGTAATGCTTTGTATAAAGCAGAAGGCTCACATACAAAGTACTAGTACATTGTATAACTGGATAGCTTTTCATATGTATCTTCTGTGATAATGTTTGGTACCATTAATAAGCTCATTGTTCAGTTGTCAGAATTCATTTGTGACTCCTATAAATGTAATGTGAATGTTTCTCCATAATTATTTCCATTAATGTGTGTGTGTGTGTGTGTATTAATATATTAACTATTACTTCTTTATTTCTTGATGGACATTGAGTTGTTGAAGTGGTTCTTTATGAACAAACTTGTATTGCAAAAATGACCAGTGAGAAGAGCCAGCAGAGTATTTAGTGACTGTTGTAGTGGATAAAGCTGCAAATAGATCTGCTAGTGCTTCAGGGCTTGAAACCAATATCCTTGGTGTAATTTCCATACATTTTTACATAGTCATCAAAATTGCTGAATGGTAAATTTCAAGTATTTGTTGTTGGTACATCATGGGTTGATTGTTAAACTAAAAATACATTTTCGTGTCTCTTTACAGTTTGTGCTGTATTTACATTTTGACTAAGTACAAGATACAAATCAATCATGAGCCTGCAGTGGACATTGATAGCTGGGTTTTTGTATGCTGAGATAGGCTTTATGACTTTGCTACTACTTCCTTTAATTTCACCTACAAGGTAAGATTAGATTTAGTGCTAATTCATACTTGTCTAATAGAGGAGTTTGGACTGTCAGCACATGGAAACTAATCTGTAGAAATTCCTCATGGAAGATCTAGATTTACTTTGAAACCTACTGTTTATTTACATGTACTGTCACATAATAAGGAACCTTGTCTTTATTTACATGTACTGTCACATAATAAGGAACCTTGTCTTTATTTATTATGTACTGTCACGTAATAAGGAATCTTGTCTTTATTTACATGTACTGTCACGTAATAAGGAATCTTGTCTTTATTTACATGTACTGTCACGTAATAAGGAACCTTGTCTTTACATGTACTGTCACGTAATAAGGAATCTTATCTTTATTTCCAATGATATGTTCAATTACTTTAAACCATGGAATCTATAAAGTTTCTAGAAATATTTGTCCTTCTCCAAGACATCTCATAATATGTTTTCAGTTATACTTCTTTCAGAATTAGGTTTTATTGCCCTTTCACTGCTGCTCTAATCTTCATTCTCACTTTTTCCTGAACAACAGCAAGTACTTCAGAAGTCTTTTAACACAAATTGTTTTCAATTTGCTTCTATAGAAGGCTCCACTTCTACTCTCTGAATCACCATATGAACAAATCTGTAGAAGTTCTGTGATGCTGATGTGAGGTTGTACACATGCCAAAAGGGCAGTGCAATACCAATAGGGTGACAAATTCAGATCTCAAATATACATTCTCACTGAGAACATAGCTAGTATGATTTAAGATCATTTTTCAGACTAGGATTCAGCCCTTCTGTTCAAGCGTTCCTTGTTTTGTGGATGACACTCATCCAGATTTCCATTAATTTTTAAACAGTTATGGCTTAATTGAGCTTCAGTTGTCTTGAGATGATTGTATGTTTTTCTATATTTTTCTAATGTTTCTTACACAAGAGAAGTGCATGTCTGACTTATGGAGTACAAGTGTTAAGTTTTAGACCAGCAGTTTCAGCCTATACCCAATTAGATATTTATGTAGTGCCTTTATACTCCTGTATTGTTGGTATTTCCTTTAATACCTTTTAAATGGATCCAATATATCTATGGAACCTTATCAAAGACTTGATTTGGGTAGTATTCTCAGTAAACTGGTACACAAGAATTTGTGTTATGAAAGATAGCAGTAGACTAGTTAGATGTTTTTTTTTTAAATTATTAATATCACACTGACAACAAACCATAGTGCTTTTTTTTTTAACTCTATTCTTTTCTTTTAATCTAAAGTTCTGTCTCAGAATTTCAGTTCTTTTAAGGTCTCACTTTTAAGAATCAATCTTGTATACTATGACAATTTCTATATTTGAAATACTGTGTTGTGTTTAAATTCACATTATTTAAGAAAGGTTAAGTTGTTGGAGAGGGCTCTGAGAAAAACAATCGGGACAGTTCGAGGTAGGAACGGGTATGGGTTGAAATGTTTTTACTGAAAAAAAAAGGGGGGGTGGGGACATAATAAATGTTTTAATGATGGTTGCAATTTTGGAATTTGTAAATTTAGATGATGTTTTTTTATAAAAAGAAACAAACTGCAGGCAATAAGACTAGAGAAAACAAGCTTAAAACATGGAAAACTTGGACATTATTTTAGTTAAGATAGTTACTTTTCTAGTGTCTATAATAGTTTCCCACCAGGTATGGTAGAAGCTGCAACATTGAAGGAGTTTAAAATGGGATTGGATGAATATTTTAGAGATCAAGGCTGAACATAAGGAAAGGGGTTTTGATATCTAGTTCTTAGAATAAGATGTAAGTTGAAAAATGGGATAGCTGAGATGGACTAAATAGCTTGTATTATCCCTGAGAAATGAAAAATTGGGGTGGGGTGGTGCCAAAAACATTCTTTCAAAGCATTCTGTCTTTTAAACTTAGTAAATAAGAATATTGGAAAACAAAATCATAGGTGTAGGAGGAGGGGGACAGTTACCCAATTCTGGCCCAAATAGTTGTTTTGGGCAAAACCCACCCAAAATATTTGGCCAAAAACTCCATACATATCTATAACTTTTATATTTGTAAATTGATTATGTCTTTTCAGAAAGTGTATTACCCACACGTGATATTTTCACTTGCATCTTTTTAACCCTTTAGCACTATATGGTTCCATATGGAAGTCATTGGAACAATTTTTTTCAAGCGATTTTAAACCTTATAGTACACGAGTTTAAGGTCGATTTTAGATTTTCGGGAGAAAATAAAGCCCTTATGCCTACGAACACAATTATGATTCTTCATAGTTATTATTTGTTTTCTCGATGGGTTAAAATATTTTAAATCTGTGAAGACGTTAAGTGATAAGAACATGATAAAATTCTTTGCTTCTTCTACATCTGGATATTTCTCATTTCAACCAACCAGTTTCAGAGTAATTTTGATAAATTAAATATTGTTTTAAATAACATAATATGAAAAGAAAATGGAATAATTTTTGAAGGTTATTTAGTAGCTAATATGCAAATATTATTATTGTATGTATCTTTAATAATATAAATTAATTTAGCAAAAAAAAATTGTAGGTATTATTAGGTGACTATATGAAGTATTTATTTAAAGTTTAGTCAGCAAGATGGGTTCAAGTATATGTATGTTGCAATAATGTTAGTAAATAACATGGTTTTTCATTAACTTCAAGAAATTAAGAACCATCTAACAATCAAACCAGAAACAGTGCTATTTAACATTCTTGTTTATCAAAATCTCAGTTTTGGAGTTGTTAGATTTTACTGTATACCTTTTTAAGTTGATTTAAATGTTTTAAGATACAGTGAAGTCTCAAACATAGTTTACTTGGGATGTAGAAGATTCTTTGCTCTGTATTGAATCAAGATACCACTTACTCAAACATTCTTTTTTGTATAAAAATTACTCTGTAACAAACCTATGATTCTAAAAATTAAAACTCTAGATTAAGTATTAGAAGTTATAGAAACTACTTATTAAACAAGTGAAACAAACTCTAAATCAGATTCAGCATTTGGTTCTGTTTCTTTTCTCATCTACTTCTCAAGACTAGCAGTCAATCAGTCAGGTTTAAGAACTAAACATATCTTTTTTCATGAGGCAATGTTTACATAATTTAATAATACAATCTTCTTTACTGTACATTAGATGGCACAGGATATTCAAGTCAAAATTTTTTCAAGCTGTGACAAACCAAGCTCATGTCTACTTTACTATATGCATTGTTGGCCTTGTTCTTGTTTTTCTTGGTAAGTTTTTTTCATATATATATATATACTGAGATTAAACCTACAATTTCGCATATGGAAAAAAATCTAGATAAAATTAACCATAAGAAATACTCCTGCAAACATATTAAAGTTGAAAATATTTTATAGAAATATGAACCCAATTCTTTAGTTTTAGTATAAAATAAAAAAGGCAGGTAATATATATTTTTTTATATCTAGTTTGAAATAAAGAATTTATTATTTATTGTGTGAATCTTCATCATCTGCTTGTAGCTGCTCCACCCAGGAGATTAGCTGTCAACACTTGCCATGCCCATCTGACCTGTGCTTTGCACACAATTATTTTAGGTGGACTGCAACCACTCCATGACATCTATGACCCATTTTCTCCGTGGTCAACCTTTCTGTGTACAACCTTCCACCTTGCCCTGTATCAAAGTTCTTTGTTATGATGATGTGTACAAAATACTGACAATTTCTTTTTTTTTGGATATCTACTTTTAGTGTATGTTTTGTTTTGGCCAGATTTTCATATTTGTTTTATACTCTGTACATGACATTTTTTAACATTTTTCTAAGCATCCACATTTCTAATGATTCTATTTTGGTCCAGAGTTTTTTGGTTAGTGTCCAAGTCTCTGCAGCATACAGAAGAAGGGATAGTGCATAATATTTTATAAGTTTCATCTCTGTTTCTAACCTAATGTTTCTGGTTAATACAAAAGAAACTTGCTCTTTCAATTTCTATCCGTCTCTTGACTTCTGTCTCATATTTACCATCTTCAGTTATTAGTTGCCCCAAATAGACAAATTTGTCCATTTGTTCTACTGTGATGTTGACTCTTTTACATTTCTCCTCACAACCATGGCGATTGTCTTCTTTATGTTAAATGCTCAATACATACTCTTGACTTCTCCTACTCATTATTCTTTGTAATGCTTTAGCACTGTGACCTCAGCATACCTCAGTGCCACTGTATTAACCCCTCCAATTCTTATTCCTGTGAGCTGAACTATCTTTCTAAATATCTCTCCTGTGTAAAGGTTGAATAGATTTGGCAAACATGCTTAACACTGAAAGTATCTGACTGAGTTTCCTCTAGACAAATACTTGCTTTTTGCTCCCAGTACATGTTCTGGATGAATCTCATATATCTACTCTCTATGTCACACTTAGTTAACACATATGTTATCTTCCAATGTAGTACATTACCTCCTCTCACGTATATAGGTATTTTCATTCAGTGCTGCCCTCTATATGCAAATTGTTTTTCACATACCACAAGCTTTGCACTCCCATGTACCCCATGATTATCGTGTTTCAATTGCATGTTGCATGGAAATCATAATGTGACAATCATCCACCAATAGGAGTGCAACACAACCTCCTGTTGCACATGACTCCCTTTATTCGATTCTACCAAACTATCACTTCTCATTAGGTATTGCTATAGTGAAGATGGGTTTTGATTGTACTCTCATCACACATTTTTTTATTTTTATCATACAAAGTGGAAAGATTGTTTATATCTTTTACTGCTGTTTTATTTATTTTTTATAAAGTTTTCAGTGATAACTTGTCTTAGATATTCTTATTTTTTATTTGAATAATTTTTAATCATTTTACAATGAATACTGAAGTTACTGTTACCACATCAGAAATTTTACCACCTGCTATCGGCATAATTACACAGGCTTCAGGTAGAGGTAACTTGACTGAGGAATTTTTGGCCTTAATTCGTCGGGAGATTTAACATTATCTGAGTCACCCTTATTCTCCCGATAGTGCTTGACTTCCTCCTGAACTTGCCAAACCTTTTCGTGACTATGAGGTTTTTGACAGCTTTTTTCCTCCTTCGAATAATGCCTTTTTAAGACATGATAGTGCTTGACATCCTCCTGAACTTGCCAAACCTTTTTGTGACTATGACGGTTTTGACAGCCTTTTTCCTCCTTCGAATAATGCCTTTTTAAGACATGATTTCTCAAGTTTGTTCCATTTTATTCATTTCCCCAATTTCTTACAATCCTGTTCCTTCTTTATTACATGACACCCCTTCCTCACAGTATTTTGTTTTCCCTCCTTCTGATGTTGAGGTTCATGCTGAGCATTTTGTTTCTCAGTATCAAGTTGCCTTGGCTTATCTCAGGCAGATTAATCCTTTCTTCATTCTCAGCAGTTAGAATCACTACTGCCAATAGGGGGGCTGAGCCTGACAATCTTACCCTTACAACTCCTGCAATAGTTGTTCCCCATGCATCTTCTTTCTGAGGCACTCCACCAATCTCCTAAGGGATTTTTGGGGATACCTTCTCCCTCCTTACTCGTGGAGTATGGGAGTCCTTGTCACTTTCCAATTCTAAGCTGTTGGGGTGGTGGACCATGGAGGTATCTTACTGAATGTGATCTAATGCTAATAAATAAATACACACAACATTCCTTCAGTTGAGAGTAGGGTATTGATGTTCTGCTAATGTAGATGATGCTGGTCCTACATTCATGTGCTCCATCTCTGTACAGTTGGCTCCGAAGGTTGATGTTGTGGCCAGCTTCTGTGACCCGGATGGTGCAGTTTTGTATTGTTCGTTGAAGCAATCCACTTCCATGCAGTGGTACCTGGAAGTTAGCAATGTGCTCCAATGCTGTATGGTCCTGTTGGAGGGGATGAGATTGCATGTGTACAATACTAAATGGGCTCTGAGGGTTGATGTTGTGCCCAGCTTTTGTGACTGTCCAATGGGTGAGGTCGCATATCATTTATAGGACAATCTACTTCTGTGCGGTGGTACTTGGAAGTTCATGATGCCCTCCAATGCTGTACAGTTCTGTCTGAGGGGATGATGTTGTGCAAGTTTACTAATAATTATGCTCCATCTCTGTATAATGGCTCTGAGGGTTGATGTTGCACCTGGCTTTTGTAACTATCTGGAGGGTGCAGTTGCATATTACTTATAGGGGCAATCCACTTCCATATGGTCCTATCTGAAAGTTCGCAATGCACTCCAATGGTATACGGTCCTTTCCAAGGAGATGATGTTGCTTTGGAGTTGATCTATCACATTGCAATTTACCCCTTTGATTAATTGGAATCCCTCATCCTACCATCACATGGATGTCTGTTCCCTGTGACTGTTTTGGATTTCAAGCAGGACCAATCAACTTAAGTCCTCACACATGTGTTGCCTATGTTTTTCCTATTCCTCAATCATTTTGCCTTAAAAAGGGGGATAATGTGGAAGAAGGTGATGCTTCTCCTTCTGGTGCTCCACCTCAATGAGTTTTTACAGTTGTGCAGTGTGATGCCTATCGGATTGAGTTTGAGGATGATATGACTTCCCACAAGGGGACATTACTTACTGCCGTAGTTTTGATGTCGGGTTCCTGGATGTCTGGATAGTTGTGGATTGTGCACATGTGCGATTTTATAGATCGATTTGCAGAGTATATACTTCCAACCTACTGAACTTCAGGTGAAGATGACATGGACCCTCCTTCTACCACTGATCAGATGTTTTATTACTGATTCCACTTGGTTTTGGTCAGGAGTTGACCTGCTGTGTATGGTCTATCATGACATAGCCATTCTACACCTTGGAGGGTATCCAGTTTCACTTTTCTCCACATTAGTATCTGTAGAGACTTCACCTACAGCCTCTCTTCAGTGGGATTGAGATTATGATATTACGTGGTTTGGATTCCAATCCAACTGTCTTCTCTCCCTTTTGGTTGTTTTCCTCAACTTTTTCCTCCAGTCTCTGCGACAACTCTTTTCACACTGGGTGAAGAGTATACCTGGTACAGAAGTGGTGTGGTCTCCCATGTATGATTCTCTATTAACTCTCTCCACACAGGCTCAGTCAATTTGACCGACCGCGTGACCTTTTTGTACTTTTAATAAACTAAAAACAAATTTGTCCTTGTGTAATCTCTAAAACTTCCTAAATACATTTCAAATTTTGTTTTCAGTAAAACTTTATATTTTATCTGTTTTTATCTCTACCCTAACTCAATTTGACTGACCTCGTAACCACCAAAAAATAAATAAATCTAAATTAGCCTCCTTTTCTTTCTTTAATGACTTCAATTGTAGTGTGAAATTACATTCGTTTATCCTAAGTAGCTTTAAAATCATAACAGTATACATCTATTTATAATTGAATTTTATTGTTTTATTGCCCTTTGAACCGTGTCTAACTACTATTTGCACTATTATAAGTTGTAACTCATTTGAAGAATGTGCAGCTGTTACGCTATCAAATTACATTACCCACAAGCAACTCTGAGCTGCTCACATGTGTGCCTCATGAAATATTTTTATTATTATTGTTATTGTTTATTTTACCAAATCTAACATTAACTAACCTAAAGAGATCTCTATTTTTATGTATTAGTTACTTTTATAATAATAAATATAGAATAAACAAGAAATAAAGTACTTATCCAAGTATTCTTTTTTTTGCTGTCGACTATTGATGACATTTAACCCTACTTTTTTATACTAATGGTAGTAGTGCATTAAATAATTTATAGATAATTAAATAATACACCAAAGAACATAGAATCATAACATGCAAAAAACAATTTCCTCTAACAATCACAATTTTTCTGGCTTTCTAACTACGCAACAAGAGCCATTACAAATTCATCTAAGCTAGCCATTGTGATTCCTGTGGGAACAAAAGTTGTGTTATAGGTGAAATTGACTATTCTGTGTTCAGAACTCAATGTAATAGAAAACGTCATTTGATAGATGAAAACCTTGGTTTTGTATTGGTTATAGGTAATATATAGTTAAACGTAAGAGAGACGATGTGACGGGTGGGTGTGGCAGGAGGGGTCTGATTTTCTATTTGATAGCTCTGTAACCAAACAAAATTGAAGGCTATAAAATGTATGGTTTGTCTGAGCAATGACAATTTTATAGCGAGTAATTTACTTTGAATTTCATACTTTTTTGGAGGGGTGATGGATAAAATAGATAAGAGAAGATACCCAGAGAAAATGTCACACTAAGGGAAGTTCAGGATATTTTTAAATATTGCTTTATAAAGTTAAGAACTTAAAACTTGTGTACTATTAAAATATGGATTATTAGCTAAGTTTTTATGCTATACTAACTGGTGTAACATAAATAAAAAATAGTTTTATATAATTTTGAATGTAAGACACTAAAACCTTGTCATGTGCAGTAAAGGATACCTGTGGTGATAAGGTTAAGAGGATCATCAGTATAAGGTGTTCTTCAGACGTTTTTGAAGGCTACTTTTTATCCCTTGCACTGGTCCTTCCACCTTTTCAATATAGGATTCTAACTATATATATGTGAGTGGAGGTAATGTACTGTATCAGAAGTTATAATTTTTAGTATACTGAAAATATATTTCTGATAGGTTCTTACCTCCTCTCACATTTCCCTCCCAACTGAAAAATGGTGATTTATTTCCTGCCTAAACTTGAAGATATAGTAGGTAGAATCAAATAGTGGGAGTTGCATATGTCAGGAGAGTGTGTCGCACTCCTATTGGTGAAGGGTTGTTGCATGATGATTTGCATGCAAGACACAATTGAATGATAATCATAGGGTACATGGGAGTGTAAGGCATGTGGCATGCAAAAAACAAATTTGCATATAGAGGGCATAACTGAATGAGAATAATGATATATGTCAATGGAGGTAAGTACCAATCAAATGGTACTTTTGTTATTACAACTTGTCAAAAGCTTTCTTATAGTCAATGAATCTTAATTTATTAATAACTATTTAAAAATATATAGTTGTACATTATATAAGTAAATTATTAATCTTTTTTTTGCAAGTTAAAACATTTTTTTCCAGGTCTCAGTCTACACAGATAATATTCCTTTTCCCAGTGTGTAATATCACTGTTGTTCAAGTTCATATCAATCAATTTTTATTATGTATAGTGTACTGGTTCTTCTAGCAATTATTACTGTTCTTGACCACACTATTTATTCTCCTCTGATCAAGGCTGACTGTTAAAAACTAGAATTTTTTATGTTTGCATTTTTCCTTGAAAATTGTTATCTCTTTTGTACACATTGGAATTTGTTTGACACATTCCCTTTTGCATTGTCCACTGGCAGGTCAGCAATAAGTTCATGCTAAAATCTAAGATTTGGCCCCCATTGCTGGACAAGAGCACAAATAGCCTGTTGTGTAGCTTTGAGCTCACAAAAAGAAACATAAAATACACCACCACTTTCATGTAATATTTTCTAGTTTACTTAATTTCATATTTTG